AACTTAGTCTGAAGACAAGGTCCTCAGTAAAGCTTCAAGACTCTCGTTTAACTTATGTTACTTTCTCGGGTCCGAGCTGGCGCCGTAGACCTGCGAAGGGGCAGCATTACTGATGCATTTCCGAACAAAATAGTTCCTCTGGCTGAGCAAGGACCTGTTATAATAGATTTATCATTAAACTGGTAAAGGTTTGTTATGAAAAACCAAGGAGACAAAATGGAATTACTGAAACTGGAGAATCCTGGGCTGGAAGAATCCTGATAAGAGCAGAGACGTTTCTCGTCGCCAACACTAGAATGCGTGGAGATTTACAACCACGTACCCAACACAAATCCATGACGCTTAGACAAAGGATAACTCAATACGTTACATGTATTAGATATTTTATTAACTTTGTGGAATCAGGTGTATAAACTTACTATCAGACTCTAGGGTCATCGTCTGTGTGCTTAACACTTCGGAAGAAAGCCATTTCTTGAGAAAGCATCTCGAACCAGCTGCCTGTCAGAATCTGTTAGAGGCTGCAGAGGCTGTCTGCAAGGTCCTCCGTACAGACCCATCATATCCATGGCCTCCTTCATTGCAGGTACGCCAAGTTCTCTCGTCACCTGGACACCAAACACATAATACTTTCATAAGAAGCCTTTGTCATGGTACAGTTTTCTGAATAGGAGGATGAGATGAACGGTGTACGAGGCTCGTCCACAAAGTAAGTTTCCCTGGGGCCGTTTACAGAAACAAAACACAATTTCATGGAAATATTTATTGCAACAGATACAGCAAGTGTCCAGCTATTTTTCAACATATTCGCCACCGGAATTGAGACATTGGTCATACCGTGGGACCAACTTTTGAATACCTGGGGTTAGGCCCATAGACCCGGCACAGCTGACGATGAATTTCGATCGGCGCTATGCTCTGTGCATTCAAAAACTTTATCACTGACCGCACTTCACAGTCGGCGGGGGCTGGAATAAGAACCTCCATCTTCAACAGCTGCCACGATGCTACTGTGAGAACGCGGGAAGTACCGTTAGTGCATGGGCCATGCTACGTCATTGCTCTATCACGTACGCACAGTCGCTTCGCGCAATATAAGGTTTGCTAGCTGTGGGACGAGTGGGAAACTTACTTTGTGGACGCGCCTCGTATTTACACACATGCAGATACTAATTTCTTTCTCTCTTTCTTTATGTCCTATTTTCGTCTTTCTTTATTCCTTAGCTGTATATTTCTTATCATTCCTTTCCTATTTATTTTTCTTTGTTTATTTCCAATCGTCTTGTTTTCTTCGTTCTTAATTAATTTACGTCATTTCTTGTACATTTGTTAATGGCTTCATCACTTCTTGTCCCAATTCCCTACGCTCACTTACGCAGGGAGGGACTGACGACAGTTTTGAACGTCCTTATAAATTACGCAGTTCCAAGGAGTGAGTGAGAGAGCACAAATTAGCATGAGCTCTCCGCATTCATTTTGTTGAATCGTTCCATAAGGGATTTAAATGGGGCGTATTTAGATGATGACTACGCAAAGCAAGCGAACTCCATATGAAAGCGACGAGGAGAAAAGAGAGAATTAATAAAAGCTGTTATAGTCGTGTGGCTGATAAAACAGATACATAAATCCAGTGGATGTTTCATTTTAAGTAACTAAACGCACATCAGCAGATACAGAGAGAGAACTTTCTGTCACCCAGATTTCATGTAGATTAATAACATCAAACTGAACTTTATATAACGAAATTCACAATCCCTACATCACATTTCATTAAAAAAAAAAACTACTGAATAAAATTTACCAAAATGTTTAAACGTTGAAAAGATTTTGTGTCGATTTTGATCTTGTGGGCTGTAACGCTGTGTGGACTAGTGGGTAGTTACCAATGTTTCGGAGAAACATACTGTCTCATCTTCAAGGTTGAAAATGTTACAAACCTAAATACCAACGTCGACATCTTCACATTCATCGGAGCCTCAAATATTATTAGGGAATTTAGTGAACTGAGCGAATCCCCCTGAGCTTGACAATCCGTGTTCGATTCTCGCTTGTTACTACACAATGGCTCTTGAACCCACTCTGGCTAACACCCAGGGTTCTTTTCTCGGTAGTACGATTTAGTTCACCAGACACGTACATTTAGTGCAGAAGTAGAGAATTGATTAAGCTTCACTTCCATTCACTGTATGACAAATACCGAACAAGTAGTATGAGTTGAGCTTGCAGACTTATGATTCGGCGATACTCTCTCTGAATGAAAATTCCGGAAGATAACCAACTCTTTCGGCGTTATATAATCATAGTGTTAAGGAAAAGAGGGGCACTAAAGCCACTAAACATCGCTTTTCGAGAGAATGTGGAATAAGTTTGGACTGTAATATTCTAAACTCAGTATTTTGTAACGTCAAGAAATAGACAGTAGATCTATTCTGATTCGGAGTCAGAACTCGGGTTTTCACTTTACTAATTTAATAAACAGAATTTATCGATGCACTTGCCTTATTGTGCCCAATATTTTACTTATAATTTTCCAGTAAATAAATTAATAATCAATAAAATTACGTGCAAAACTCATGTTGGCCAATACCACCCTCTTTTTTTAATTTCCACAGGCTTAAGACTCTTCCAGGACTGAAATTTCTACTCATCCGTTCAGAGGAATTCCACGCCTATTCTACCATTTGATTTGTATTTTAATATTATCCATACACATTCTTCATCCACGATTCTTCCAATGTGATTAACCCAGTTTTGTCTTATATTTTATCATCTTCTTCAGCTCGAGAGATATTTAATCGTTCTCTTGTGTATTAGTTTAGCCATCTGTCTGATAAGCTCAACACGTCTCTCGAAATTCTTTTCAGAAATAGAAATTCTCCTTTCATTACATTCTGTCATTATATCAAACTCACTGTCTTCCATTATTACGTATTCAATAATTAAGTTCTTAGTTCACAATTCCGTCAGAACAAAAAATTATAGGCTTTGAGGTCAATATGGTATTCTGGTACGTGACATCGTACCAACGTTTCGATTAAACATACCGCCTGCCCTGAAGTGTCCGTCCTCAATTCCTGTGTACGGAAGTAATGACCGGATTCCTAATACATTTGATATTGTCCATTGACAGTAAACGTTATCTTATGAATTTGATTTTTTATCAAGTCCGTTCAGTACGTTAGTGTATACAGAAGCCGATATTCGCTGAGTTACTCAAAAAAATTGTTCGTCTTTTATGAATCAGAAAGTTTATTACAGTGTTCATAACAGTCCGCCACTGAACCCTTTCTTCGAACATGCAACGAAGGTTTAACATACTCGCACGATATTTCTTTCAGAGTCATAAATCTTAAGTTAGGAGAAGCTTAGCTGTAAACTTATATATTTTCTAAAAAAAAATAACGTTTCGTGCAGAAAATTTTAAAAACATAAATATTATACAATTTATGTTTTACCTATTTCGATACAGTAAATATTAAGAAAAAACAAGGCTTTTTTTTGACTGGTGTGAAGACTTCTGTATAAATATATTTGTACCTGTAATTAATGAGCATTGGAAACACTGAGAAATATCAAATACGAAATAAACGAACTTATAAAATATATGTACTCTTCTGCAGTACTTAATTATACCGTTCTGAAAACTGTTTCCAGGTGTTCAGACTCCTTGTGGATCGAGGATCGTGAATTTGTGGTTCAATCTCTTGGATATCCGTACAAGGCAACGTGAGAAATTTATGTCCAAGTAACATGCATCCAAGGTTATTACAACACCCAATCGTTTAATCTCATACGAAGAGAGATATGGCGACCACAGTATCCTTATTTGTAGCATTTTACAACTTCATATAAACAAATGTTAAAATCCCATACAGTGAAATAATTTACAAAGAAATATTTATTTGTAGCCAAATTTTTATTTGTATCATTTCAGATTAAATGACAACCGTTTCCATGTTATGCTCGAAATATCTCGTTTAGAAACATTGCTGTCATGTGACTAATCTGGTTCCTGGATAAAGTAAAACAGAAAAGTCCTACAGTCGTAGTTTATCGGAAATGTAAATCACGTGATATGTTATAAAGGTAACGGTCCGGCAGGTAAAGGTTCCTCAAATTATTATTATTATTTAGTGTTCTATCTGACGACAGGTCCATATGAACAGGATCCTTCCATCCTTTTCTCGGACTGGGACCTGTGCATATACGTTCTTGGCAGATGATCCAGAAGTGGTTTGCCATTGCCTTCTTCTGTGTGTGCATGGAGTAATTGTTGGGACGCCACGGAGGAAAACTCCGTGTTGCCTAGACCACGGCCTTGCCCAACACAAGTTATAAATGCGGGCACCGCCGGAAATCGAACCCGAGACCCCAGGATTACAAGGCCAGCGTTCTAACCGCTAGACCACCTCATCTTATTATTATTTAGTGTTCTGTCTGACGACAGGTCCATATGAACAGGATCCTTCCATCCTTTTCTCGGACTGGGACCTGTGCATATACGTTCTTGGCAGATGATCCAGAAGTGGTTTGCCATTGCCTTCTTCTGTGTGTGCATGGAGTAATTGTTGGGACGCCACGGAGGAAAACTCCGTGTTGCCTAGACCACGGCCTTGCCCAACACAAGTTATAAATGCGGGCACCGCCGGAAATCGAACCCGAGACCCCAGGATTACAAGGCCAGCGTTCTAACCGCTAGACCACCTCATCTTATTATTATTTAGTGTTCTGTCTGACGACAGGTCCATATGAACAGGATCCTTCCATCCTTTTCTCGGACTGGGACCTGTGCATATACGTTCTTGGCAGATGATCCAGAAGTGGTTTGCCATTGCCTTCTTCTGTGTGTGCATGGAGTAATTGTTGGGACGCCACGGAGGAAAACTCCGTGTTGCCTAGACCACGGCCTTGCCCAACACAAGTTATAAATGCGGGCACCGCCGGAAATCGAACCCGAGACCCCAGGATTACAAGGCCAGCGTTCTAACCGCTAGACCACCTCATCTTATTATTATTTAGTGTTCTGTCTGACGACAGGTCCATATGAACAGGATCCTTCCATCCTTTTCTCGGACTGGGACCTGTGCATATACGTTCTTGGCAGATGATCCAGAAGTGGTTTGCCATTGCCTTCTTCTGTGTGTGCATGGAGTAATTGTTGGGACGCCACGGAGGAAAACTCCGTGTTGCCTAGACCACGGCCTTGCCCAACACAAGTTATAAATGCGGGCACCGCCGGAAATCGAACCCGAGACCCCAGGATTACAAGGCCAGCGTTCTAACCGCTAGACCACCTCATCTTATTATTATTTAGTGTTCTGTCTGACGACAGGTCCATATGAACAGGATCCTTCCATCCTTTTCTCGGACTGGGACCTGTGCATATACGTTCTTGGCAGATGATCCAGAAGTGGTTTGCCATTGCCTTCTTCTGTGTGTGCATGGAGTAATTGTTGGGACGCCACGGAGGAAAACTCCGTGTTGCCTAGACCACGGCCTTGCCCAACACAAGTTATAAATGCGGGCACCGCCGGAAATCGAACCCGAGACCCCAGGATTACAAGGCCAGCGTTCTAACCGCTAGACCACCTCATCTTATTATTATTTAGTGTTCTGTCTGACGACAGGTCCATATGAACAGGATCCTTCCATCCTTTTCTCGGACTGGGACCTGTGCATATACGTTCTTGGCAGATGATCCAGAAGTGGTTTGCCATTGCCTTCTTCTGTGTGTGCATGGAGTAATTGTTGGGACGCCACGGAGGAAAACTCCGTGTTGCCTAGACCACGGCCTTGCCCAACACAAGTTATAAATGCGGGCACCGCCGGAAATCGAACCCGAGACCCCAGGATTACAAGGCCAGCGTTCTAACCGCTAGACCACCTCATCTTATTATTATTTAGTGTTCTGTCTGACGACAGGTCCATATGAACAGGATCCTTCCATCCTTTTCTCGGACTGGGACCTGTGCATATACGTTCTTGGCAGATGATCCAGAAGTGGTTTGCCATTGCCTTCTTCTGTGTGTGCATGGAGTAATTGTTGGGACGCCACGGAGGAAAACTCCGTGTTGCCTAGACCACGGCCTTGCCCAACACAAGTTATAAATGCGGGCACCGCCGGAAATCGAACCCGAGACCCCAGGATTACAAGGCCAGCGTTCTAACCGCTAGACCACCTCATCTTATTATTATTTAGTGTTCTGTCTGACGACAGGTCCATATGAACAGGATCCTTCCATCCTTTTCTCGGACTGGGACCTGTGCATATACGTTCTTGGCAGATGATCCAGAAGTGGTTTGCCATTGCCTTCTTCTGTGTGTGCATGGAGTAATTGTTGGGACGCCACGGAGGAAAACTCCGTGTTGCCTAGACCACGGCCTTGCCCAACACAAGTTATAAATGCGGGCACCGCCGGAAATCGAACCCGAGACCCCAGGATTACAAGGCCAGCGTTCTAACCGCTAGACCACCGTAGCGGTCGTTCCTCAAATACAAACCAAAAATTAAAACAGGAAGAAACAACAGCCAAAAATTTAAATCAGTAAAACCAAATTCAAAAGTACACACGTCTGTAGAAGTTTTCAGCGTGCTTTTGAAAGAAGGAACTGTAAAATACATACATAAACTGGCATTTCGTAATGACCCATGGAAATAGACTCTCCACTAACTGGATAATCATGACTAAGATTAAATTTTCCCTTATTATAAACAACCATTAAATTCACGTGCGATTATTCAATGTTAGTTAACATTTATTAAAACTGACGAAAACTCATTAAGTAATAAACAATTAGAATACTACGCTTCACTGTTCACTGTCAATACACACACTAAACAAATTAAATATAACAAATTTAATTAATTCTTCTCCGTCTACCAGCAGTTTAAGGTGGTTTAATGATAAAACACCTTACACGGCTGATAGCCCGAGAAGAATTCATTATACTTAGTCGCCGTGAAAGATTCAGATCATGCATACCAAATTTGTTTTAAAATATGCATCTCGTTTCTTGAAATAAGGCACTAAATTTACATAATTAAATAAATTTGACTTCATCGCCGTCTAAACTACGTCCTGATTTTTTTTAATAGGTACGATTATCTGCTTAAACAACTGAAGCATGCCGTGATAAGATATGGAGCACATGAAGATAATTTCTTGGCTCATTCTCGTACTTCGGTTTTCGCGGCTGGAGCTCGCGATGTCATTAAATCAAACTCACCGCCTAATACCTGCCCTTTTAAGCGTGCCAAGAACGCCCAAACTTAACGCACTCACCCTGAAGATGGCAACTGAAATACTTGTCGAAAGGTTTGATAACGTTCAACATTCGACGTAGCTCACCCCGAAAGCTAAAGTTGTTCACTGATACTCAGCCGCGAAAACCTTAAGAAAAAGACAGATACAATTGCCCTTTGCAGATTATTCCTTACCGTGGCGTTTGGAGTGACAAGCCGGAGGTGTAACTCCACCGCTTCTTGAAGTTTAGACTTGGTGAATAGGTTGTAAATAGTACAAACTTCATCACCTAGAATGTTAGCAAGGCCATTGATTCCCCCAACACATCCTGAAATATATAGATAAAAACTTGCAAAGCAAAGTCGGTCTGGATCTCTCGTGCCGTCTGAATTAGATCTACGCCGAAGAACTTCACGCAAGGAACACGTAAAAATGATTAATTATTCAGTGCGCATTTTAATTACTGCAGTCTTGGAACTCGAGCGATTCTCAGTTGTTACCGAGATTTATCTTAAGTACTGTGTTATTTTGAAAAATAGTTGTTATTTCTCAGAATAATTGTGATGCTAAACTTTTTGAGCGATTATTTCTGCTTGAATTCTGGCACTTAAAAAACCTGTAAATCAATTGCATTTTTATTTTAAACTAACGTCGTCATCACGTTATTGGCACACGTTTCGTATTCGGTAAATCCTGATATCAAATCTAGGTTCTGAAATTGTCTATCCTCACTGAAATCCATGATTTTCAATTCTTCCAGGCAAATTGTGTGATAATGAATTAAATGAGGCCAAGATCGTTTCTTTCCACACACTTTTTAATTAATTATTCTTTAATTATTGTATTATTCGACGATATACAGTCTGAGATTCTTACAGTTTCGTAGAATAAATATAAAATAAATAATCTTATTTAAATTCCATTAGGGCGCATTCAGTTTCCCCGAAAACTATACATTAGAACAAATATTTTACTTATTACAGGTAAAGTCAAGTTTACATAAATAAAAACAAGACAAAATATGTTATATTCATTTAAAAATGTGAAGTGTTAAAAAGAATCTAAATACAAAGGAAGGAAGGAAGGAAGGAAGGAAGGAAGGAAATCGAAACGTAAGCACATTGTCTCTGCTTTAGTATTAGTCCGTAGATGGTCGTTAAGCGTGGGGTTTAACAAAATGACAAAAGAGACTGATTCTACTGAGACGAAAATTTTAAGAAATATGCTCGCTTCAGTAGAATTAAAAATGACGATAAAACGTATATTTACATATATTTGCTTTAATAATTAGCAAATACTTGTAAAGGAACACGACAAGCGCATTTAAAAAGAATTATAGAAAATATAAGATTAAATATTGTTTTCAGGAACTGTGGACCGAAGCATAACATAATTAGAACCCATCCTTGAAAAAAGTAATTAATTCATTTAAGCTCTTGACAACAGCCAGATAAGTCCAATAACAGTCACACACTGAACGATAGTAATTACATTCATTTAGATAACAATAATAATAAAACATTACAAATACGAAATCCAACAAATAAAACTAAATATATAAATGTACCATATTAATAATAATTCAATTTAATTTATTTAGTGAGTGATAATTCACAAGTAAATGGGCTAAATAATATGCTTATATAATAATTAAATTCATTATTACTAAAAAACAATAAAAAACTAGAAAATATTTTACGGAAAATGAAATTGGTAAGCACCTTCAACGAGACTCATGAAATCTAAGCGTTAACGGGAAAATTTACAAATGTAAAAGGCGTTAACCGTTTCCATATTATGAACAAGATAGTTCGTTTTCATCGAATAAATACGGCGTTTCGTAAAATAAATAAAAACAAACCCTTCTGCTGTCTCTTGCTATAAGAATCTAACAACTTGTGTTTTACGTCGATTTAAATACACAAAAGAAGGCACTGAGAATTTAGAGGGTCGAAATAATTTTTATTTTGGCCCATAAATTTGCAGTCATTTAATAGAGAAAGCAATTTAATATCGAACGTTTAGGAAATCAAAGTAGCAAGGAGGCCGGAAATGTCGCCAGGTACTTAAATACAGCAGATTTTAAAATTAACCAAATTACGAGATACAATTTCCACATGAAAATACGGACTTAACAGAAATGTCGCACAACACGTTTCAAGTAACTGGATTTTTAAATAAAGTGGCCCATAATATGCAGTACTTTAAGTAGTTTCGGTGCTGTTCCTTCAAAACTGACGGGAAAACGAACACAATTAAAAGTAATTTGCAAAAGATCGTATGCTTACCGACAAGAAGGCTTGGTAGGAGAAATCCTGTTGAACCCGCCAGAACTTGGAATTTGTGGTGTCGTGTAAGAGATACAACTCTTGCAATCTTCGCGATCTAGAAGCCAGACGAAACAGACACCTAAAGAGCAAAATACGCTGGGAGAAATGGGCTTACACACGTCGTTAATCAACACCAGGTATACAAATAGCTCGTCACAAAACATTAATTTATATCGTGAAACATCTGGTTGTCACGGCGACGAATATGAAGATGGATGTCTTCTGGGTTGTTGCGCCGTGCAGTCTGGCATAAGATTACCGACGTTTCAGAGGTCCTGACTGCCTCCATCATCAGGGTGATGAGTATGAAGATGGATGTCTTCTGGGTTGTTGCGCCGTGCAGTCTGGCATAAGATTACCGACGTTTCAGAGGTCCTGACTGCCTCCATCATCAGGGTGATGAGTATGAAGATGGATGTCTTCTGGGTTGTTGCGCCGTGCAGTCTGGCATAAGATTACCGACGTTTCAGAGGTCCTGACTGCCTCCATCATCAGGGTGATGAGTATGAAGATGGATGTCTTCTGGGTTGTTGCGCCGTGCAGTCTGGCATAAGATTACCGACGTTTCAGAGGTCCTGACTGCCTCCATCATCAGGGTGATGAGTATGAAGATGGATGTCTTCTGGGTTGTTGCGCCGTGCAGTCTGGCATAAGATTACCGACGTTTCAGAGGTCCTTGCTACCTCCATCATCAGGACGATGATGATAGTGACAGCAAACGCTTCTGAAACGTCGGTAAACTAATGCCAGACACAACAACAACCAAGAAGACATCAATTATGATTAAAATTGTTTCCAGAAGTTGAACACTCAATTGCAAGGGTCAAGCTATTCGCACGATGTTCCAGTAATTTTAGATAGTGGTCCCGAACGTAACCGGAAAATCCCGAAGGTTCTGGAAAGATTTGGGGGCGACTCGTAACTTCTGGCGTCAGCTGAGTAACATTACTAAGTACAGAATTGTGAACTGTATGAAAACATTAAAATTGTCAATAGCTATAAGACGTATTGCAGAGTTCAAAACCAAAAAGAAATCGGTAATACAGGTGTCCCAAAAAGACATTTACACATATTTATTCGATGAAATAAGTACATTTTAAAAACTAAACCATTGCATACGTCACGAATACCACTTGTTGGATGAGAGAATCAAATGTACGTGTTCAAACTGACCACCGATGGCTTCCAGGCACAGGTGGTAGCGTCCTGTAGTCGTCCAAGGGATTTCGATACTTACTTTACAGTAGTATTATATTTATTTTGGCGGAAATTGGAAGAAACTTTTATATTACACAGAATTCCTACGAGCGATATAAAGTTATATATTTCGTGAAACAACGCAAAGGAAATGATCCGACATCTGAATGTGTTGCTGTCTCAAGTGACATATGAACTTCTCCGAAGTCTTCCGATAGAAAGTAATCTTGCAGACTCACAAATGTAATAGGTAACAGAGTGATCCCGTAGCAATGCAGGAAGGTGGGGACTGCGGATGACTACGTATAGAAATAAAAGTAAATAACGGAAAAAGAAATGCAGAAGGAAAGAAGAAAGTAATGAAAGAGAAACGAAAATGAGATAAACAGATAAATAATTTTACTATATATTTAGCGTTTATTTCTACTACAAGACTCCAATATCATCTGAAGAAGACACCACTTCTGGATCATCTGCCAAGAACGTATATGAACAGGTCCCAGTCAGAGAAAAGGATGGAAGGATCCTGTTCATATGGAACTGTCGTCAGACAGAACACTAAATAATAATAATAAGATGAGGTGGTCTAGCGGTTAGAACGCTGGCCTTGTAATCCTGGGGTCTCGGGTTCGAATTTATAACTTGTGTTGGGCAAGGCCGTGGTCTAGGCAACACGGAGTTTTCCTCCGTGGCATCCCAACAATTACTCCATTCACACACAGAAGAAGGCAATGGCAAACCACTTCTCGATCATCTGCCAAGAACGTATATGAACAAGTCCCAGTCCGAGAAAAGGATGGAAGAAGGATCCTGTTCATATGGACCTGACCTGTCGTCA